CGACACCCGCGCCAAGGAGTACGTTAGCCTCCTCAAGTCCAACGATCCCGTCGGCTTCAACATCGTCGACGTCCTCGCCTGGGGTTCCATCGGCCACATTGTCGCCTATTATATCCTCGCCACCTCCAGCAATGGATACGACCCCAAGTTCTTTTAACTTTCTCTACTCCTAAATTCTACTATCTATTATTGCCTGTATATTGCTGGAGCTTGACGATGATTGCGTTTTTAATTTTTATTTATCGGCTTTTTTACTTTTCCCTACTTGGAAAGAACTCATAGTATAGGAACACTGGTTTTTATAGTTACGAGATCTCCGGTTTTGCGATGGAGCCATCGAATGGCTCGATTTATGGAGTCATCCACATTTATTTACCAATAGTGTATTAACACGTGTCCTGCAATAAATACAACTTGGACATGTGTCAATACATTAAGTGGCGAATGACCATAACAAAACCATCCGATTGCTCCGTAGAATTTTTCTACGAAATCTCTTGAAAAGAACTCACGGTATAGCCCCCAAAATATTTAAGTTATAATTTAAGAACTTATTATGATTATTTAAATCTTTTAATATTATTTCAAATGCTTAATAAATTAGCATTTAGTTGACAAATTTAGTCTTAACAAATTTGAGTTAAAAAAAGTTATCTAGTAAAAAATGACCATGTGATTTGGTTAATGATGAATGGTGGATTTATTCAAAAAATCATATCAAATTTAGTAATATACTAGATAGTTATTCGAAATAAATAAATAAATAAATAGAAATCCCAGAGCTCTTGATCGAACTGAGTGATCTCGATAGTGCCGAATACGGAATCTAACCGTATCGAAAAATAAAAGTCTCCAAACTGCACCAAATCAATATTGATATGATTTTAAAGATTGAAATTTAGTGATCTTTGAATTTCAATACAATTTCGGAGATTTCTTAATATCCAAATCGTTTGCAACCTATGCTCTCACCATGCTAAGAATCCTCCAAATGGTGCTTTTGGGCTAAAAGGTTTCATGTTAACTCAATTTGAGCTTGCTCGATTTGTTCAATTGCGACCTTACAATGCAATCGCATTTCCGGGTCCCATTGTTGTATTTGTTTCTGTATTCCTGATCTCAAATGGACCCTAAAAAGATATTGAACTCAGATGCATATTATACTCTTCATCTAGAAAAAAAAAAA